TTTATCTACCTGTGCTATTATATTATGTCATAGTAATTTTTTTTGGATAGTCTTAAACCAATAGGTAACCAATTGATAAATTAATTTGTTTTTAAATAATAATAATAATAAAATAAATAAATAATTTATTTATTTGTATTTTTTATCTAGTTAATTTTCTAGATAACAAACTATTAAATGAAAATATTTTTATGCAACTAATAAACAATTCAAGCAATAGTGTCGACGCTTTTCTTTTGATGTCGGGATTCCTGTGCGCTTACAATACTGTACGGGATATGAATAGATTTGAATCGTTAAGAGAATATAATTTTTTTAAAAAAATATTTCATCGATACCTGAGATTAACGCCATCGTTGTTGGCATTGATTGGTTTTTCAATTATTTTGGAACTTATGACTACCGGCCCCCTATGGCACCGGTATGTCGACCAATCTGTGAGGGTTTGTCATCAATATTTTTGGACAAATATATTGTATATCAATAATTATTTTAGAGAACAGGTATGAATTAATTTAAATTTCATTTATTTATATATTATTCTATATATATATATATATATATATATATCAATAATTTTGTTTTAAAAAATTAAAAAAATAGTGTTTGGATCATACCTGGTATCTATCAGTTGATATGCAACTATTTTTAGTGTCACCCATTTTTACACTATTATTAACATGCAAACAAATTAGGTAATCAGTAATTAAATATTAATTGTTGCATAATTAGTTACATAGTCAAAAAAGTACACATATACATAGACAAATAAATATTCATATACTAGGGTTAAGTAAGAGGGTAGGGCTGGATATGACAAAAATACCCCCCTAATATCGAGATTTTTTGATTTTACCCCCAAACTTTTTGACCAAATTAGAAAAATTGTTGTATAAAAACGAGGAGAAATGACCCCCCTTTTGCCGATAGCGCCGAAAAAATTTTTAGTTTATAAAAATTTTAATTTTAGTTGATACTATTTTTGTAAGTGTTTATACAAATACTGATTGAATACTTATTATTTAACTCAATTTTCACTAATGTTTTAGTTATATTAAGTATAAAATTAAAAATATGTTTAAAATTTTTATTTAAAATTTTAAAAATTATTAATAAAAACTTATAATATAAGTATTTATTGTTTTATTAACTTCTTAAACTATCTTTAGCTTTTATTTAAATTGTAATATGATTACTCTTTTCAACAAATAGGTAATTTTAATCCCAAATTCTCGATTTTAGGTGAGGTATTTTGACCTTATCCCCCTAGCTCCCCCTTTTCTTAACCCTGACATATACATAATATTAATTTATTTTTATTTGTGTGTACTGTATATGTATTACATATACAGTACACACAAATAAAAATAAATTAACAACAACTATGAAAAAGAAAATTAAATTATAAATAAAAAATTTATTAGTAAATTTAGATAATAGAATTTACATTATAACGAAAAATTTAAAAATAAAATATAAACAATAAATATATATATATAATTATTATTTATATTTTCTATACATTTATTATAAGAAAACAATATATAGGTATTGGTATTAATGTGTTGGCAATAATTATTAGTTGGATTGTAAGCGCTTACTATTTAGTCAAATATCATGCATCACCAGTTTTTATTTATGGACAAATGTAAATAATACTTAAAAATTATTAAAATTATTAATTATTATTAATTATTTTTAAGAGACATTATTCAATCATTTAAAATTTATATGACACCCTATTGTCGATTTGGTGCATACAATATGGGTATACTATTAGCATACATATATATTAAACATAAATTTCTAATTAAACCGGTTTGTTATTGTTTTTTTTATAAATTTTTTTAATACAAGTTATACTAAACATTTATATTAATTTGTTTTCAACACTAATATATCCCATATTAATAAATATACTGTATATATACAGTATATATATAAATTTTGTACTGCATTTATTTATATACTATTTTGATTAAAAAAAATCACTTTTAGTATTTACTGGCTAATAACTTATTACAATTATTGTAATAATATTATTATTGTATATTTATCTATGTGTTTAAAGTTTTGTTAAAATCTATGAAAATTATATACAATTAAATCAAATTAAAAACTTTTTTTTTAATAATAAGTTTATAATTATGTCAATTATTAGTTAAGAAATTTTTATAAAAATAATTCTCTTTTAAAAGTACATTATTTTTATTTTTTTTAGATTAAACTATTTAAGTTTTTTTTTGTTGTTGATATATATATATATATATATATATATATATATATAATTATTTATTACAAATTATTATACCTATATTATTATTTTATATATAAATAGGTAATAATAATAATATTATTATTAGAATTGTAAAGTTATTTATACATCAAATACTAAAAAATTGATTTTTTTTAATAAATAGTATATATAAATACAGTATTTTATATATATATATATTTATATTAATATCAATTAACTAATTATATTTAATTAATTAAAAAAAACAAATAGTTAATAAATATATTTCTATGGCTGCTATCGGTGTGTCTATTATTGGCCATATATTTGATACCATATCTATGGACAATTGGCTACAGTTATGATAATGTTGCCAGTGTTATATACGGTACACTACAGCATACAATACTCGGTCTAGGCTGGGCCTATATATTGTATAGTTGTTCAATTGGCCAGGGTGGTCCAATTAATCGTCTACTATCCCTGCCAGTGTTTGTACCCCTAAGTAAACTATCCTATCAGATATATCTCTATCATTATGTATTGATTCAACTGTTTATCTATACAACTGAACAACCAATTTATTATAATATAACAGAAGTGGTTTGTATATTTAAAAAAAACATTTATATTTATATTTTTAAGTTTTTTTTATAAAAATTATTATTAATTTTTTTTCGACAGATTATGTCATTCATTCAATGGTCAGTTTTGGCAATTTTTGTCAGTTATTTGGCTTATTCTATGTTTGAAGCGCCTGTTAGTAGAATTGAACGAATTTTATTTATTTGAATTTTATTGTTATTTGTTTTATAATTTATTTTTCGTTTTGATACAATTTATTTATTTAATTAAATGACATTTAGTTTTTTTTAAATATAATTTTTAATGACTCATTATAAATATTTTGTTTAAAAAAATTTAAAAAAAAGTTTACGTTAAAAAATACGATAATTATAATAAGTAATTATGACAATTACTGTATGAATGCCATTTGTAAAATAATAAGTAATACATAGGCAAACATCAATATGTACAGTATATTATCGTTATAATTAAAAAGTTAATTTTATATTTTAATTGGTGATTCTGGAAGCTTAGTGATAATATAACAATCACAATGTAATTAAAATAAATATTAACATTCGTATCAAGTATTAAAATAAACTAATTAATCATTTATTTAACATTTTAAATATTATTTTTAATGACACAGTAATTAATGTTTTTTTTATTAAATTAAAAATAGTTTACCAAATTGAAAAAACTATTTAAATATTTTTTTGTAAAAAAACTAGCTTTTTAATTATCAAGTAATTAAATTACTAAATATTATATGTTAATGTAAATTTTTAAAGCAAAAAAATAATTTAATGTATATTGACAAATCTATTGTAAAAATTTTAAAAAATTATTATAACTTGAAAATTTTTGTTTTTTAAAAAATAAAATTAAATTAAGTTAAACTCATAAATTAATATATTAAATATCAAAAATTTTATAATTATGTTAATTTTTTATTTATTTTAATTTGTCTTAATAAAATTTTATAAAATAAATCATTTAAAAACAATTATACTATTTTATAACATTTTATATAATTAGTAATACAATTAAATAATAAATACTATGAATTTATTAAATAAAATAAAATAAAAATAAATTCATAATCAATTTAAGTAAAATACTCTTAAATATTTAAAACAATCGCCAGTTTCTATAATTGAATTCTCAATTTTATTTTATTTTTTAATTAAATTATATAATTAAAATTATTTATATGTAATTAAACTTAATTATACTAGTTGAATAAAATTAAATTTACAATTTTAATTAAATAAAAATTTATATTTAATATTTTACAAATACAGTATATATCATAATTTTTATAAAATTAATTTGTATGTTAAAATAAAATATATAATCCATAAAAAAATATATACTTAATTTTTATATTTAACAATTAATAACTTAACTATGAATTAGAATATGAATATGAAATTAGACTTAATTTTAATTTAGTTTTAAAAATTTTAATTCAATAATTAATAAATATTTCATTATTGTTTTTAGCTGACAAAAAATATTTTGGATTATTTGTTATAATTGTTATAAAAAAACTAATGTTAAAAAATCGACCGTTTCTCAACTTTAACCATAACTTTTTTGGTTGACATTAGACCAAAACTGTAAGAAAATTCAATGGGTTTCTGTGGTGTTTGGAGGAAGATATGGGAGAAAATAAATATCTTAAATAAATAAATATTTTATATATATATATATATATATATATATATATAAAATTTCTTTCGTATAAGTTTACCGACTAAAATACACTAGAGGTCCTCATTTTAGTACTAGAGGTCCTCTGGGCATTAATTTACATTTRATATTTATGGTAATTAAATATTTGGTCAACTTTTTTGGCACTRCTCTTAAATTACGTTATCATATTTATTGCTTACACAACAGCATAATAACAATAAATATGATAACGTAATTTAAGAGTAGTGTTAAAAAAGTTGACCAAATATTTAATTACCATAGATATCAAATGTAAATTAATGCCCAGAGGACCTCTAGTACTATAATGAGGACCTCTAGTGTATTTTAGTCGATAAACTTATACGAAAGAAATTTTATATATATATATACAGTTTATGCCAATTAAAAGTTTAAATATTTTAGTAATATTTAAAAAATGTTTTAGCCAAGGTAGTGTATATAACTAACCTAATATAAGATACTAACCTAGTATACTAAGTTACCTTAAGCCTAAAGTTAGCTTAAAGTTAAGTGTAAACACGATATTTCTGAAATTTAATTTAACCTTTTAATCGGTAATATCTGTGTATATATATATATAATTTTAAATATAATAAAACAGTACCCCTGTATCGATGAACCTGTATTTATGTATAGCATTGGCTAGGGCCAGTTTGATTTCCATTTGGGCCAATCGCATACCGATACAGTTTCGAGGTCCGGCACCGAACGACAAATAGACGTACGGGTTGTGTTGCTGCTGCTGCTGCTGATCGACATTATTGGCCAAAAATCGCTCGGGTAAAAACTGGTCAGCGTCTGGATAAATAGTATTGTCGTGATGTATAGAATAGACTGGTATATGAATTAGATGGCCTTTTTTGATTTGAATACCAGTGCTCAACGTATAATCATCGGTAGCTACTCTTTCCAAGAACGTTGAGCTCGGATATAATCTTAACGATTCCATAATAACTGCGTCCAAATATTTTAGCGAATATAGTTTATCGTAGTCGACGTCTTTATTCTATAAGATTTTAAACGTTAGGAAATATATGGATATGTTTTTTTGTTTTGTTTTATTGATTCGATTTTAATTCTAAATACATGAAGGATTTTAAGCTTMTGAAGGGTTTTTTAATTTTCATTTTTAAAAATAATATATAAATATATAAATATATAAATATATAAATATATAAATATATAAATATATAAATATATAAATATATAAATATATAAATATATAAATATATAAATATATAAATATATAAATATATAAATATATAAATATATAATATATATATATAAATATATAAATATATAATATATAAATATATAAATATATAAATATATAAATATATAAATATATAAATATATAAATATATAAATATATAAATATATAAATATATAAATATATAAATATATAAATATATAAATATATAAATATATAAATATATAAATATATAAATATATAAATATATAAATATATAAAATATATATAATATAAATATATAAATATATAAATATATAATATATATAAATATATAAATATATAAAATATATAAAATATATAAATATATAAAATATATAAAATATATAAAATATATAAAATATATAAAATATATAAATATATAAATATATAAATATATAAATATATAAATATATAAATATATAAATATATAAAATATATAAATATATAAATATATAAATATAAAATATATAAAATATATAAAATATATAAAATATATAAAATATATAAAATATATAATAATAAAATATATAAAATATATAAAATATATAAAATATATAAAATATATAAAATAAATATATAAAATATATAAAATATATAAAATATATAAAATATATAAAATATATAAAATATATAAAATATATAAAATATATAAAATATATAATAATATATATATAATATATAAAATATATAAATATATAAAATATATAAATATATAAAATATATAAAATATATAAAATATATAAAATATATAAAATATATAAAATATATAAAATATATAAAATATATAAAATATATAAAATATATAAAATATATAAAATATATAAAATATATAAAATATATAAAATATATAAAATATATAAAATATATAAAATATATAAAATATATAAAATATATATATATATAAATATATAAAATATATAAATATATATAAAATATATAAAATATATAAAATATATAAAATATATAAAATATATAAAATATATAAAATATATAAAATATATAAAATATATAAAATATATAAAATATATAATATATAAAATATATAAAATATATAAAATATATATATAAAATATATAAAATATATAAAATATATAAAATATATAAAATATATAAAATATATAAAATATATAAAATATATAAAATATATAAAATATATAAAATATATAAAATATATAAAATATATAAAATATATAAAATATATAAAATATATAAAATATATAAAATATATAAAATATATAAAATATATAAAATATATAAAATATATAAAATATATAAAATATATAAAATATATAAAATATATAAAATATATAAAATATATAAAATATATAAAATATATAATATATAAAATATATAAAATATATAAAATATATAAAATATATAAAATATATAAAATATATAAAATATATAAAATATATAAAATATATAAAATATATAAAATATATAAAATATATAATAATAAAATATATAAAATATATAAAATATATAAAATATATAAAATATATAAAATATATAAAATATATAATATATATATAAAATATATAAAATATATAAAATATATAAAATATATAAAATATATAAAATATATAAAATATATAAAATATATAAAATATATAAAATATATAAAATATATAAAATATATAAAATATATAAAATATATAAAATATATAAAATATATAAAATATATAAAATATATAATAATATATAAAATATATAAAATATATAAAATATATAAAATATATAAATATATAAAATATATAAAATATATAAAATATATAAAATATATAAAATATATAAAATATATAAAATATATAAAATATATAAAATATATAAAATATATAAAATATATAAAATATATAAAATATATAAAATATATATATATAAAGAATTGTAATACCTTTTTGAAATAATTGTCAATTTCTTTGTATAATTTTTCCTGGACTAAAGGATTCTTAGCCAACAAATACGTTATTATCGACAATGTTGTAGCCGGTCCTTCGTAACCGGCTATAAAAAACAATATACATTGCGATAGTAGTTCATCATTGGTCAGCTCCCTATAATTTTCTTTATTTTTGTTTGTTTTATTGGTAATAAATTCATCGGTATTATCATTATCATATTGTATTGAACTCGTCTCTGATACCGATTCTAACATTATTTGCAAAAAGTCGACCCGTTTTTCTATATTGTCTACAGATTTCAATTGTTGTTGTTGTTGTTTTTGTTGACGACGTTCTTCAATAATCTGAAAAGTAAAGTTACAAAAAAATTTTGAACTATTTTCATCGAAAATTTTCAGCTTCAACGATTTGGCCAACCAGGGAAACAAAAACAATATCAATAGGTTTGTATTGAAGTCAAACGAAAACAATTTCTTAGCATTACTGATGATAGGATTGTCTTCATCTAATAGGGCGTCAACTTTGGTACCGAAGCAAACCTGAATAATTACTTCCATACTGTAGGCGCCGAACAAGCGTTTTGTATCGGTTTCATTAGCTGATGGACAGTCGGCTGTCGAGACTGTACTTAGATTTTTGTCGAGTGTTTTCAAACATTGGTTGATCAATGGTATCATTTGTTTGAGTTTTCTGGTAGTAAATGCCGGCGACATTAGTGATCTAACCCTTTTCCATTGGTCTCCCTTTAGGTTTGCCACTGAATTGTCGATCATTGGATCAGAACCGGTGGCAAAGTCCTGGAAAACAATTTATATTATTAATAGTATCCAGTATTCTGGATGTCTTATTGTTAGATTTTTTTTGCAATTAATATAATATTAATATTTTGTTGGACTTATTGTCTAAAGAAAATTATAAAATCTATTCAAACAAAACTATATATGTATATATATTTATTTTTAAAAAATTTAATCATTTAAATATAATTCACTTAAAAGATTCTATAAAAAAAACATTACTTTAAATATATTTTTTTTTAAATTTTTTTTAAAAATTGTTTTCAGAAACAGGTTTGCAGGTGTTGTATTAATACATTTTGCTATAAATTATATGACATAAGGCACCGGGTGGTTAGCTACGGTATGTTAGGCTAGTAATGTTAAATATTAATAATAATAAATATTTAGTTATTAGTAATTTTAATTTTATAAATATTTTTGTTTTTTAATATTTAGTAAATTTAAATATAATTAATTATTTCAAATAGTTTTTTTAGAATAAATAACATTTAGAAAAGAAAAACAAAAAATATTAATAAATAAGAAATTAATTGATTAAATAAATTTAAATAAATACCCGTCTGTTTGTAAATCTATCAAATGCTTTGACTAAAACCTCGCGAATCAATACCGGATCCGAAATATAGAGTACCGGTTGTGTCAGCTCATAGATACCAAAACATTTGCCGAACCGACGGCATAGATCCAGTTCCCATAGATGACTGGGTTTTGTTAATCGAGTCCATAAACCTACCCATACTGTTTGGATGCCCTGTGTCTCCCAATACACACATTTTGATTGATAATATCTTATAATTTGAATAAAAATTAATAATAATAATAATATACTGTAAGTGCTTGATAATTTACTGTACTTATTTATATAAAGTTAACTATTAAATCTATATTTTATATATATATATATATATATATATATTTATATTTATTTATTAATTTTGTGCACATAATAGACACTATTATTTAATGTAACAATTATAGATTATTATTTTAGATTAGAATAAAAGTTATAATTTAATTTTTTAAAAATTTGATTTAGTTAATAAATATTGTTATTATTATTATTATTACCTGTAAATTAAATACAAACTTAATGAAATAATCAAAATCCATTTAATTAGTGGATGCAATAATAATAAATATAATAGTTGTAACATTTTTTCGATTGAAAAAAAATAAAAAAAATTTTATTATCAATAGTATTTATATAGTATACATTTCAATGTCATTTGTTTAATTTTTTTTGATTTTATAGAATTTATTTATTTAATTAAATGACATTTAGTATATTTTTAATAAAATTTTTAATGACTCATTATAAATAATTTGTTTTTTAAGAAAATAAAAAAAGTTAACGTTAAAAATACGATAATTATGATAAGTATTTATGATAATTACTGTATGAATGCCATTTCTAAAATAATAAATATAAATATATTTTTTAATTTTGATTTAATTATAATAGTAAAATTTTTTATATTTTGAATATTTTAAAATAAACTCATTAATTTTACTTACTAAACAATTATTTTTATTTTATATTTTTATTTTTTAAATAAAAGATTGGTATATATTTTTATGGATAAAATATATTATTTAATTATAAATTTTTTTATTAAAAATACTATAGTTAGTTAATTAAATATTATTACCAATAAAAAATATTTTCAAAATAATATTTATTTTGCAATGAGAAAGACATCACAACCGCACCTACCGTTACCAATTGAACATTAAAAATTTTGTAATGTGAAATAATATGACAATTAAAATTTTTAAATTATATTTAACTATATTTGATATTAATTCTAATTTTTGTATTTATTTACTATTTTTAACTATTGTTTTGTTTTTTTTAATAATGAATTATAATTTATTAATAATTATGTAAATTAGTTAAATTAATTATTATCAGCTTAAATAATGAACTACATGTAATGTATCGACTATCACTAATTAAAAAATTAAATCTTATTATCAATAGTATATATACTGTATAAGGGTTAAGCAAGGTTTTGGATTTTAGGGGGGTAGACCGGTGTAAAATAAATAAATTCTCAAAAAATCTTGGGAGGTATTGGGTGCGTAAGATTTTTATTGCATTTTTAAACGTTAATTATTTTTAAAAAATCCAAAATCAAAGGGGGTGTTAAGAGAAAATTCCTTAATATTCCCTTAAATTCCCGAATATACACATATAAATTCGATAAAGTTTCCATAAGTTCCAATATAAATTCCCAAGAATATAGGAAAAATTTAAATGTTAATAAAAAAAATAATGTATTTAATATTAAAAATAGTTGAAAAAAGCATTAATGATACAGTATGAGTTTTTTTAGTATTTTAGTAATTTTTAACTTTTTAAATAGTACTTTTTTTAAATAAAACTTTTTTTTAATAATACATAATTTTTATAGTTTATAGATATATATTTTTCTTTTTTAATGTTATTTATATATATTATATTAAAATACTGACTAAATACTAATTATAAAATTGAAATTTTTTTAAATTTTTCATTTAAAATTTTAAAATTTATTAATAAATACATATCTATAACATAAAACAAATATTTATTGTTTTATTAACTTCATAAACTATCTTAAACTTCTATTTAAATTATTTTAAACTAAATATAAACATACTAAAATAGTTTTAATTAAAATTAAAATTTTTAAAAACAAAAAAAATATCGGCGCCGAAATTTTAAAAGGGCGGGTCATTTCTCCTTGTTTTTATGTGACAATTTTTTCAATTTGGTAAAAAAATCTATAAGGGTAAAATCACAAAATCTCGATCTTAAGAAAGATTTTTTTTCCTTACCACCCCTACCCCCCTTACTTAAATCTGATACTGTATAAATAAATATATAGATATATACTATACATTTAAATGTAATTTGAATGTCATTTGTTTTATAATTTATTTTTTGTTTTGATAGAATTTATTTATTTAATTAAATGATGTTTTTTAAATAATTTAAATAAGTTTACTTAAAAAATATAATAAATATGATAAGTAATTGAATCAATAATTTTATGAATGCCATTTCTAAAATAATAAATATAAATAGTTTTTACTTTTTAATTAATAATAATAGTAAATTATTTTCAAATTATCTCATTAATTTTAATTACTAAATAATTATTTTTATTCTATATTTTAATTATTTAAATAAAATTTTACATTATGTTATTAATGATAATATAGTTTATTTAATCAATTTAATTTTAAGAAAATTACTATATCAATGACAGTTGTTAAATAATAATTAATACATAGGCAAACATAAATATGTACATTATATTAACGTTATAATTACAATGTTATATTTCTGGAAATATTCTGGAAGCTTAATGATGTTATAACCGTCACAATATAATTAAAATAAATATTAACTTTCGTATCAAATATTAAAATAAATTAATAATTCATTTATTTAACATGTCAAATATTTTTTCTAAAAACACAGTAATTTTTATTAATTTAGAAATAGTTTACTGAATTGGAAAAATTATTTAAATATACTTTGTAATTATCAAGTAATTAAATTACTAAATACTATGTTAATGTAATTTTTTAAAGTAAAATAGATAAAATAGTTATTAAAGATAATATAGTTTATTTTAACAATTTAATTACTGTATGAATATCATTTTTTAAATAATAGATATTTTAAGTTATGATTAAATTATAATAATAAATTATTTAAAAATATATCAAGGCATCTATTGTATAATTTTTTTAGATTGGGTTTTTATAATTATAATAATTAATATACTTTTTTTAAACTACTAAAAGAAATATTAAACTATATTTTTTTTGAAAAAAATAATGTTAATTTTATTTTATTTTTTACTAATTTTAATAAAAAAAATGTTGAATAAATTAATTGAATTGTGTTGAAAATATTTGAAAGTATTGATGAAAAGTAAATATTTTAATAAAAATTTAATATTTAATAAAAAAAATTATTAACGATTTACGTAAACATGATAATGATTTTTTTCCATATATTTAATATTTTTTTGTATTAAATAATAATAAATTTTTATTTATCATTAAATTGCAATGAAATACAAAAAAACATGTTGTAATCATAAACCTCACAAATTTTTGTTTTACAAAAATATTAAAAAACATTTATAACAGATAAATCTGTTAAATATATTTATACAATAATTAAAATAAAATTTATCAGTATTATCAGTTTTTTAAAGTTTCAGTTTTATATTTAATTATTTAAGTATTATTTTTTTAAATATCAATGATTATATAAAATAATTAAATAACTTAAAAAACAAATAACTTAAAATACAAGTAATAAAGTATTTTTAGAAACAAAAAAAGCTGATTATAAAATATAAAATATTTATTGCGCTAATTCAATATTAAAATATTTTTACAGAAAAAATATATATTAAAAAATAAATAAATATATTTGATTTAAAATATTCATAATAATAAATAATGTTAAGTAAGTTTTATTATTAACAAAAGGCTTATTTATATAACAATATAAATAAATAAAAATTATTAAAAAAAACTACTAATAGAAATATTAAACTATAAATTCTATAAAAATTATAATGTTAATTTTTTTTAACTAATTTTAATAAAAAAAATGTTGAATAAATTAATTGAATTGCCTAATTGTGTTGAAAGTGCTAGATAGTATTGATGAAAAGTAAATTTTTAATATTTTAATAAAAATTTAATATTTAATAAAAAAAACTAACTAACGATTTACGTAAACATGATAATGATTTTTTCCATTTATTTAATGATATTTTTTTGTATTAAACAATAATAAATCTTTATTTATTAATTGCAATAAAATACAAAAAACAAGTTGTAATCATAAAATATCACTAATTTTTGTTTTACAAAAATATTAAAAAACATTTGTATTACTTTTTAAAAAAACAGTTAAATCTGTTAAATATATTTATACAATAGTTAAAATAAAATTTATCAGTTTTTTTAAAAAAGTTTTTATTTTATATTCTTAAAATTCTACAAATTATAAAACTTAAAATTCTACAAATTATAAAACTTAAAATATATTATATTTTTTTTATTAAAAATCAGATTTAAGAAAAAAAATATATAATTTTTTTTTAAAATTTTGTTTTTGTCTATAACTCTATATATTTATATAAATATAATTCTTTAAGTATTTATTTTAAATATCAATGATTATACAAAATACTTAGCAAATAACTTAAAATACAAGAAATAAATTATTTGTAAAAACAAAAAATTTGATTATAAAATATAAAATATTTTTACAGAAAAAATATCTATTAAAAAATAATAAATAAATAAATATATTTGATTTAAAATATTAATAATAAATAATGTAATGTAAGTTTTATTATTAACAAAAGGCTTATTTATATAACAATATAAATAAATAAAAATTATTAAAAAATAACTTAATTACTTTACTATAACATTATTTAATGTAAATATATAGAAAATAAATAAAAATACTTATAATAGTTAACTAATAACAGAAAAACAATAAACAAAAAAAGAAAATAATTATTTTATTTATTTAAATTTTCCTAATAATAAATTTTAATAAATATTTTTTAAGAACTTTTTATCAGAGTTATAGTTAACAAAAAAATATATTAATTAAATTTGAAAACTTGAAAGTTAATTTGATAATAATAATAATAATGAAAATATTTTGGTTTAATTTTTATTGTTGTTGTTATTAATATTGAATTTAGATTTTTTATATATATATTTTTTGAAAAACTACATTTATTTGCTTGTAATATTATTAATTAAATTAATTAATTTAGTTTCTAATTTTTTTACATTGAGATTTTAATTATAATAATTAATATGTTTATTTTAAAAAAAACTACTAATAGAAATATTAAACTATAAATTCTATAAAAATTATAATGTTAATTTTTTTTAACTAATTTTAATAAAAAAAATGTTGAATAAATTAATTGAATTGCCTAATTGTGTTGAAAGTGCTAGATAGTATTGATGAAAAGTAAATTTTTAATATTTTAATAAAAATTTAATATTTAATAAAAAAAACTAACTAACGATTTACGTAAACATGATATAATAAAGAAAATAAATAAAAATACTTATAATAGTTAACAAATAAAAGAAAAACTTGATTTTTTTGTCAATGTGTGTATAATGGTATACATTATATAGCATTTTATTTAGGTGTGTGTGTGTGTGTGTGTGTAATAATAGTTTGAAAATTTTTTTATTATTATTATTATTAAAAATAACTTTTACAAAAAAAAACAAATATATCGACTAAAAATTAAAATAAAATATAAAATTATTTAAAATTATTTAAAATTATTTAAAATTATTTAAAATTATTTAAAATTATTTAAAATTATTTAAAATTATTTAAAATTATTTAAAATTATTTAAAATTATTTAAAATTATTTAAAATTATTTAAAATTATTTAAAATTTTCTAATCTTGTATTCAATATCTAACGAATTCGGTAGCAATAAGTCGGGAAACATTTTGAACAGATTGGCGACGGGTTTTGCGGTGACCGACACACACGGCTTGAACTCTAGTGTCCGGACCAATGCAATCAATACGTGTTTCATTAATACTCTGGCAAACCGTTCGCCGACACAGTAGACAACTTGACCGGAACCGAACGGAATGAACGAATGTTTGACCAGTTTATCGGCCGACTCGGGCATAAACCGATCCGGATTGTAGACCTGGGGATCGGGAAAGTATTGTGGATTGTAGTACATGGATATAAACGATAGGTCAATATCAGTACCCTTGGGCACCGATAGGTCAACATCGGGTAAATGGATGTCCTCTGTTGCCCGTCTATTGGTAATAATTGCCGGATATTTGCGCAATATTTCCATCAGTACAGCATTCAGATACGTTAGATCCGACAAATCGGTACTACCCTTGTTGTTGTTGTCAGTCCTATCACTGGTCAACTCATCGTATAGTCTACGCTGAATGTCTGGATTGTTGGCCAACTCGTACACCGACATTGTCAACATCAGACACATTGGTTCAAAACCCGATAAAAATGTTACATAAAATAAACTGATAATCTCTTCATCTATTAGACGATTATTATTATTATTATTATTATGATTATTATCATCGGATTTATTGTGACGATAGTCGAGGAAGACCTGCAAAAAATCTTTGTGATTGTAGTCATCGTTATCGTTGTCATCATCGGCAGCATCGGTGGTATTGGCCATCAATTGTTTGTCAATTTGCTGACACTGTCGGCGTCGGTGTTCAACAAGTTTGCGGACACTGTCAATGAAATATTGTTGTCGACCGCCAAACAGTTTATCATACAAACGAAATACTGGATCGACTAGCCGTGGCCAGATCAAAGTGGCCAACATTAGCCGCCGATTTTGATCAAACTTTGGTACCGATTGCATAAACCTATTGAAATCGATACCGACATCATCGAAACAGCGGCCAAACGAACAGACAATCATTATCTTAATTACCAATTCGTCCATCAGATGTTTGACCTCTAGTTTAGCGATCGGCGGTTTCCGGTCCAGAAACTCTTTGGCCACAAATTGTCGGCAAACAGTTTCCGTTGTCTGTCTGATTTGTTTCAGATTTTCCGGCCGAAACAATTGGGCCAACACTTGCATACTATACTTGTTATGTATGCCTACATATAGCTGATAATCGGTCAACTGTTTAATGATATACCAGTCCCGTTGACGGGGAAATTTCAGGGCATCGGTACCCAATATCTGATGGACTGTATTCGGCTCCGATATGATTAGTTCGGGTCGTGAAAAACGGTAGGTGCTAACAAAATTATTAATAAAAACAAAATAAATAACTAATAAATTGGTTGTATATAAAAAAATAGATATATACAGTAGTATCATATATTATAGTTCAATATAATTGTAAAGTAGTTGTAATATTATTATTAGAAATATTATTATTCGAGGAAAATTCCACTTTAGGTTTTAGGGAAGTTCCCATGAGGGAAGTTCCCGACAATTTTCATGGAAAATATTTTTATTTTAATCCTTTCCTTTAGTAATACAAAAAATTACTAAATATTTTGTAGAAAAAAAATTAATTAAATGTTAAATTTAAAAATTAATATTTAAATATATATATAAATAATAAACTTGGTAATACTATTTTTAAATAGCTATCCAAAAAAATGCAGTTTTAAAGTGATAGTTGTTTTTCAAATATCATTAAAAAATGTTTGCTATTTAGGGTTAAATAGATAGTAGCATTAATATATATAAACTTCCTATGAATTCCCCAGGAACATATGAAACATAAGGAACTTTTTGCCTTAACCTAACCCTAACTATTATCTATAGTATAAAATTTTTATTAAAATATTAATATTAACAATTTATATATAAAATATCTATTATAATATATGAATTGTTTTTTTTCATATGATTTTTGCTGTTTTTAAAAACTATTTATTTTGTTTGTTTTTTTTGTGTAACTATACATTGTTGTGTAAATTGTTAAAAATTAATTTTTATATATTATGAATAATTGATATATATATATATATATATATATATATATATATATATATATATACAAAATTTAATTACCCAATAACATTGCCAAACTTGTTTGACCATGCTAATAGTTGTTTATAATGATAACCGAATATAGTGTTCAAATAGTTGCCATACAGTGGTAATGGTGTCGGACCATAGATTCCACGCAGTTTCCAATAATTAAAATAGTTATACTTTTGACTAAATAATCAAATATTTTCATATATTTAATATATATATATAAATATACATAAATAATTATAAATATCAAAAATAATTACATGATTATATAAATTATGCCAGCACAAATAATCAATGCTAATAATATATAGAAATTATAATATAATTTGTTAATAACAATGTTAAACATAGACATAGTTTTTTTGCTTTTTGGATAAAAAATTATTATATTAATAAAAACTTATGTATTATACTATATATTATTAATTTTATAATAAAATCAATATAAAATTTACATTTATATATATATTGAAGTATTATAGGATACTATTAAATAATTACATGTAATATAATAATATTAAACAATTTTTTTTAATAATTAACATTTTTTCATGACAAATTTCCGCAGTCATCTTAAATATAATAAATTTTATTAATAAATTTTATTAATAAATTTTATTAATAAATTTTATTAATAAATTTTATTAATAAATTTTATTAAACAATGTACTGTATAGATGTCATAGTTAAACATTACATATATTAATATTTTAATTAATAAAATAAATTTTTTAAAAATAATAATCAATATAAATAGTTTATTTATAATTATTTTTTTAAAATTGGTATAAATTTTGGATCAATATTTATATATTTACTTAAATGTATTTATTATGATAATTATCTATAATAAAGACATAAACTTTATGTTTAATTTACATATTTAATCAAATAATTAATGCAAAATACTTAGTTATTAATAATTAGTAAACTACGGCGTTATTAGTGTATATAAAACTAAACTAAAAATAATAATAATAAATATTTTGTCTTTTAATTATTTTGTTATTTAATTTTATTGTAATATGTGTGTGTATTTGTGTGTGTATGTGTGTGTATGTGTGTGTATGTGTGTGTATTTGTGTGTGTATTTGTGTGTGTATGTGTGTGTATGTGTGTGTGTGTATTTGTGTGTATTTGTGTGTGTATTTGTGTGTGTATTTGTGTGTGTATTTGTGTGTGTATTTGTGTGTGTATTTGTGTGTGTATGTGTATGTATGTGTGTGTATTTGTGTGTGTATTTGTGTGTGTGTATTTGTGTGTGTATTTGTGTGTGTATTTGTGTGTGTATTTGTGTGTGTATGTGTGTGTATGTGTGTGTATGTGTGTGTATGTGTGTGTATGTGTGTGTATGTGTGTGTGTGTGTGTGTGTGTGTGTATGTGTGTGTATGTGTGTGTATGTGTGTGTATGTGTGTGTATGTGTGTGTATGTGTGTGTATGTGTGTGTATGTGTGTGTATGTGTGTGTATGTGTGTGTATGTGTGTGTATGTGTGTGTATGTGTGTGTATGTGTGTGTATGTGTGTGTATGTGTGTGTATGTGTGTGTATGTGTGTGTATGTGTGTGTATGTGTGTGTATGTGTGTGTATGTGTGTGTATGTGTGTGTATGTGTGTGTATGTGTGTGTATGTGTGTGTATGTGTGTGTATGTGTGTGTATGTGTGTGTATGTGTGTGTATGTGTGTGTATGTGTGTGTATGTGTGTGTATGTGTGTGTATGTGTGTGTATGTGTGTGTATGTGTGTGTATGTTTGTGTATGTGTGTATATGTGTGTGTATTTGTGTGTATGTGTGTGTGTGTGTATTTGTGTGTGTATATGTGTATATGTCGCCTGAATAGTCGCAACCGATTTGATGATCAAATAAATTGACGAACAATTTTAGGTTATGTCGGTCACATCCGTACGGTTTGTATGCGCAACAACCGTCCAGTGAGTCCGGTATACGGCGGATATTTGTGTGGACAGCTTCAGCACTGGTAGACGCTCCGGCCGGCAGCGGCCGACAGGTTTTATCAGTACCTTCTGTTAATGATGCGGCGGTGCTGGTGGTGCTACTAATACTACATATATAAGCGATAGGACCGTCTCCGCAGTTACCATTTGTTACACATAAGCTACAACATATAACCGTTGGACAGCACCTATAGGCTACCGGACGGATAGGTACACGTTGGCAATGATTGCAGTGATTTGATTGATGTGTTTATAATGGCGGCAATTTGTCAAAGTTGACTACACTTGAAGTGTCCACGGAATCCATATTTAAACAATTTATAAAAAAAATATAATTAAAAAATTAAATTTATTATTAACTTATTACAGTTATCTAAATATTCATATAAAATTTAGATAACTAGTTTACAAATATTACTTAATTAATTAAAGTTGTTATATATTTTAGATATTAATAAAATTAAATTTAAAAAATTTACTGACTTTTTTGTCAAAATTTATTTTTAATATAATTATTGATTAAATTTAGCGATAATTTGATTTATACGACTAATCTCTTTAGTCAGGTCTTCAATAGCCGATTGATAGCTTTTAAGTGTTGTCGCGTGACTTTTGACCGATGCGGACAACAAACGCAAACAAATGATTGTGTCGGCACTGACTTTAAGGACACCATTGGCGGCGGCGGCGGAGCCGGCAGTGGCCTTATAGTGGACACCCTTTGGTTGTCGGCACGTTTCGCAGAGAATATCAGCCGATTTCGAGCACTGCTGTTGATGACCGTCGAGATCGGCCAGTTTGGAACCCAAGGTTGTCCAAACCGTACTGTGCGTATATACATTCAAACAGCAGTGTCTAATATACGTTTAATTTTTGGATCTACAGTGTCGGCAGTGGGCGGCAATTTAGGTACAGTTTCAACATAGCATAGACACGGTATGGGTTCACTGGTGGTCCCGGTTTGGGCACAAGTGTCACACCAGATACCCGACCGACAACATCTTAGACCTACCGGACGTATTGGTATCCGCGAGCAGTCCTTACATAGGATATCCCTTATATAAAATGGTGCCAAACGTCCAGTGTTTGTACAACGATTGGATTCAACTGAATGCATACTAAGCACTGGTACTATAAAAATTATTTCAACAACAAAAAAAATCAAATAATTAATAATATAATTTACACAAAAAAATTCATATATGTTTTAATTAGTACAACAAAACTTTTAAAATTATATATATATGATATATAATGCAAAAAATTGTTGTATATATTTTACATACAATGTGTGGCACACATACAAAAAAATAATTTAAACTTAATTTAAAATTTAATACTAACAACAACAACAATCGTTGCTTTTATAGCAGTTTTTTTAAACAAAATAATTATTAAATTATGGAAAAATTCTATTTTTTAAAAAAACATAACTAAATATTAATAAATTATATATAAACTATTGAACAAAAATTATAAGTTTAAAAAAATAAACCCAAATCTAATAGTTAAAAATATATAAATGTTTTGTTTGTATTGAATATTATACAGTTTAAATTAGTATATATGTATAAAGTATGTAGTAGTATTTTATACTAGTATATGTTTATGAAAAAATGAAAACTTAACAACAAAATTAATTATTATAATAATTAAAAAAAAAACATTAACACTATATTATTATTATTATTATAGTTAGTAGATTAAATAATATTTATTTTTTTTTGGATAAATTATTTATTTATTTTTGTAAAAAATTATCATCTAGCAACATTTTCGGTACAATTTCTCTATTGATAAATTCAAATCGTTCGCCAACTTTACTCAGTGTATCATTGCTTTTGATGAAACAAAATCGACATAAATTTGAATATATATGTAAATTATTTGGATCACAAAACCCAAGTAATGGTGCACATTGTATACCATGTGATGATAGCCATCTAATAAATGCCAATACCATTGTATACGGTTTAATAGATGATTGTTGTTGACCACCACTACCACTACCAGCACCGACAACATAGTCAGACAAATCTAGACGTCGGCATAAATCCAGACAATCGGCTACAATATAATAGCCGGCATCGGTAGTCAATGGTTTCAGTCCAAAATCCTGTAGTATATTAGCCAATTGATCGCGTTTGGCCTGCAATTGCCGACACGTTTTCGTCCAATACATTGAACGTTGACTGTCGTCAATGGCCGGTGATCCGGACATACAGACACCATCGGAACCGGTAGCTATTAGTTTCGTATATTCCAGTTCCAACATCCGAGCCGTTGCCTCCTGTATGGGTGTCGAACTGGTTATAACCATACACATATGGTTCAGGTAGATGTCGGCCATTAGCTTACTATTGCCGGTCAGTGCCCAACCCAATCGCCAACCGGTTACGTGAAACCATTTGCTTAAACTGCCAATTGTTACGCTCCGGTCAAACATTCCCGGTATTGACGCTATTTTTGTTTTGTTTTTTTTTAAAAAAGAGGATTAATTGTATTAATAAAAAATTATTAAATTAATTATTTTTGACACATACTGTATATATATATATATATATATATATATATATATATATAATATTAATTTATTTACCAAATTTAAAATGTTTTTTCGGCTCATAGACTAACCATTCGTATACTTCATCGCAAATAGCGATAACATTGTATTTGCGGCACAAGTTTGCTATCGATAACAATTCCGATTCAGTTATTACCTAATAATAATAATTACAAACAAAAATTAATAGATAATTAATAGATAATTAATAGATAATTAATAGATAATTAATAGATAATTAATAGATAATTAATAGATAATTAATAGATAATTAATAGATAATTAATAGATAATTAATAGATAATTAATAGATAATTAATAGATAATTAATAGATAATTAATAGATAATTAATAGATAATTAATAGATAATTAATAGATAATTAATAGATAATTAATAGATAATTAATAGATAATTAATAGATAATTAATAGATAATTAATAGATAATTAATAGATAATTAATAGATAATTAATAGATAATAATAATTATTATTATTACTATATAACTAAAAAAAAGCAAACTAGGGTTGGGTTTAAGTTTTTATTTTATTTTTGGTTCTAAACTACTTGTATAGTTTTCTAGTAGCAACTTGATAGTTTACTAGATGGCCATAGATTGTACGTACGGGTAGTTTATTTTATTTTTTTTCAAAAATATTTAATTTGCGATAATAAAAAATAAATTTTATAAAAAAAAATACCCGTCCCGTTGGATTATGCGGTGTATTGATAATAATAGCCTTGGTCATTGGACTAAATAACTGTTCTAGCTCCATCACATCCAATATCCATTTGTTATCGATGGGGTCATAGGTCATCGGATAGTGTTTGGCTACGCCGCCTATATTTTCGACAATACGTGCATAAAACGGATACGACGGATCAATAATGATCACGTGATCGCCACTATTGACCAGAGCTTTCAATGAACAATAGATGGCCGCCGACGACGCCATTGTTATCTGGATATTTTTGTCGACAATTTGTACATGCTCGCCTAATAAATATGTATAAATTTTTTGCAAGATACTTTTGAGTCGTGGTAATCCCTGTTTTTATATATTATGTTTTTTTAATGAAATAAAAATTGTTAAAATTATCAATAGTTTATTACTACTACTACAACTAATACTATTATTATTATTATTATTATTATTATTATTACTACTATTATTACTATTATTACTATTACTATTACTATTACTATTACTATTACTATTACTATTAACTATTAACTATTAACTATTAACTATTAACTATTAACTATTAACTATTAACTATTAACTATTAACTATTAACTATTAACTATTAACTATTAACTATTAACTATTAACTATTAACTATTAACTATTAACTATTAACTATTAACTATTACTATTACTATTACTATTACTATTTACTATTAACTATTAACTATTAACTATTAACTATTAACTATTAACTATTAACTATTAACTATTAACTATTACTATTACTATTAACTATTAACTATTACTATTACTATTACTATTACTATTACTAATTACTATTACTATTACTAATTACTATTACTATTACTATTACTATTACTATTACTATAACTATTACTATTACTACTACTACTACTACTAAATTAATTGTTTTCTATAAAAAAAAATTTTTTTACAGGGAATACATATATAAGGGGAAGTTTAGGGGTAAAAAACTTATTTTCTAACCCCTATTTACTTTACTTATAAAATACAGTACAGTAGCGTTCAGTAGTTAGTTATTATTAATTAATATAATACTATAATTAATTAATATAATATACTAATCTATATAAAAAAAAAATAAATACAATACATCATTGTTAGTGTACTGGTGTAGACTAGTGTTTCCATTTTGCATAATATCAGTCATAAATTCAATAATCTCTTTTGGATATATTTCATAATCAGCATGGCCAATTGACAAGTTTAGTTCATTATCTTGATAGAATATATCATCAAAATCACTAAAATAAAGTTAAAGATAATTTTTTTAAATAAAAAATAGATTATAAAGTTATTTTTAATAGTTTTTTATTATTATATTTTATTATTCAATATAATACTAATCAAAATAATATACAGTATTATATAATACTTACAAATCAGTTGATGATTGTATTGCCATTTGATTACTAAAATTATTATTATTATTATTATTAGTAAATATTTTGCAACAAAAAATATTTTTTCTTATTTTAAGAGTTTTATTAAAATGTTTTACAAACTAATATAATGTAAGCGTTTAACAGATATTAATTATATTGAATATAATGATTAGTTTTTTTAAATGCACGAAACAATTATATTTATTTAGTGATTTGCAGTTTTTTTAACTAAATATTTATGTATAATAAAAAAATAGACATAAAAATATATAAATAACTATTTTATAGTAACAAATAATACTATTACCTTAAAATTTTTTTACTAAAAATATTAATATATATATTATTATTTATTAATATTTATTATATATATATATTTATAAAAATAATAGTACAAAAACACAAAATTATTACATTTACTAAATACATACTAAATATACATATATTTAAAATAATTATAAAATATTTAATTTACTTATAATAAAAAGAAACTAGTATATTTAATAATATTTTTTATAATAATAATTTTAATTTTATCTAGCTAAGTCTAAAGTTCATCACGGTTTCCATGGATATCATCATCATCATCATCATCTAGCCAATTAGTCCATGCACCTCCATGTCTATCGGGATAACTGTCCCGATCGACTGGTATCAGTGCCAGCGGTCGTACGGCCGTTCGATTCAGGTCAAGCAGTCGGTGCCACATATAGTCAACCAGATCCAGGTTTTCGTGGGCAATGTTCCGATGTTCGCACGGATCGTGTCTGATATTAAACAAACAAAACTGTCTGTCCGGTTGACACCTGTATGGGTCGCTCGATAAGGAGCCGTCAGGTTTTGGCGGACATTTAATTGTTGCCGTCTTTTCGAGGACATCGTAATCGGTCGTTGTTGGCGGCCGTCGGTTCATAGCTGACAGCACCTGATAGGTACGACTAGCCAGTCGATCGGCTCGTTTCAGTTCATCCCTTGACGGCTGATCCATGTGAATGTGTTGACTGTCCTCTACGGGTATGGTTGGCCACCAGCTACTGGCAAATGATGCCCGATGTGGATAGTTAGGATCATTGGGTCCGTATAGCAATTTCCAATCAAACCATCTGATGGACGACTGGTTCCATATCGGGTCTATATTGTGCAACAGTTCCGTACGTATCGGTGCTAACGATCCATTGAGCGATAGGCTTTCCCATTGAGACATACCTGTTTTTGTATAATAATTATATTGTATAGTATTTGTTTGTTTGTTTGTTTGTTTTTAATATATATAGTACCATAACTAATGTTGTTTTTGGTAAATGGATCTAAATCGGCACCGATTGCGTCCAACAGTGTGGGCATAATATCGGTAACGTGTATGAGCTGGTCGGACACATAGCCCGTAGTGTTAAGCAATGGACTCCATATGAATGTCGGCACTCGTATACCTGTGCGCAACATAAATAAATGTATATATTGTATAAATGTATAAATTATATATATATATTATATATGACTAAATGTGCTGTATATATTATATATATTGATTTATTTATTTTTTTTTAAAAACTAACCTGCTTCAAATAGAGTAGATTTTGAACCACGCAATGGTTCAGCAGATCCAAAATTAGCTAGATACATATATAATAATTATATTGATTAATTAGATTACCTAGTTAATTTATAATATATAAAATTAACTAAAAATTAAATATTATTTACAAAATACGCTAGGTACATTGACAGCTTGCGGACCATTATCGCTGGTAAATAGGATAATACTATTCGATAGCATTGACCGATCGTATAGTTTCTCAACAATAGCACCGATCGATTCGTCCATACTGTAGGCCATAGCCGCATACGTACGACGATTCTGGGACTCTATATGTCGGAAACGGTTCATATATTTATCGGGCGGTGCTTGTAGTATATTATCCGCATAACTTGAATGTAGGGACTGGTAGGCAACATATAGAAATAGTGGTCTACTAGTGTTGTGCTGATCAATCAGATCAAGTGTTTTACTAGTATACACCTGAGTTGAATACTGGTTGTCCGGCTGATCGGTCAATAGTTTCATATTTTGTCTGTAGTCTAGTCCGCACGTATTAAATGTCTGATAGATAATACCCGAACACATACTATGATTATAATAGTTACCGAAACCACCCCACGTACCGAAGTGGGTGTCAAAACCACGATAGGTGGGCGTGTAGTCACGCTTATAGAAACCCAGGTGCCATTTACCTTGATATATATATATAATAAAATATTAGTTAAATATTATTATTATTATTATTGTTAATATATTATATGATTGAAATCTACAATAATTTTAAGTTAAGTTTTTTTTATAAATTAATAAATTAATTGAATTTTAAAAAACTTTTAGTTTACTTTTTATTATAATTTTTGATTTTTGATTACATATTATTTACTCCCACTAACCGATAGCATGTGTTGCGTAATCATATTGTTTAAGATATTCGGGTAACAGTTTCTGATCCAATGGATAGCCAGCCGGTTGTAGTTCATTGAACACCAGGTGCTGAGTGCCTGAGTGTATGGGATGTACGCCCGATAACAGTGCACCCCTACTGGGCGTACACAACGGTTGAGTGTAATAACTGTTTAGTGTTATGCCATCGGCCGATAGGGTATCGATGTTTGGTGTTAGCATATGATCGGAACGGTAGCCAACGTCAGCCCAACCCATATCGTCCACCAAAAAGATAATAATATTTGGCAATTGATTGGCATTTGTTATTGTATTGCATAGTGTTATAAATGCAATGATTATTATTATACAGATATTTGATAGAAACATATTTTTGTTTATTAAAAAATAAAGTTAGTTTTTATACATTAATAGTAAATTTTTCGTATAATATTATAAATTATTATTATTATTATTATTACTTTATATTTATAATATAAAATTGATTAAAATACTATCAAAAAATAACTATATTTTAATGACAGTTTTTTTCGTAAATTTAATAAACTAGTAAAAAAAATATTTTTATTTAATTTTTTTTATTAATTAATACATTTTATTTAATAAATTTAATAACTACTAGACTACTAAAAAAAATGTTTATATAAAAAACAATTTCCAACTAATATGTTTAAAAAAATTTGTGTCAATCATACAATGATAATTATAAAATTTTATTTATAAAAAATTTATTAAAAAATCTACTTATTCAATAATATCTTACATTTAGGGATTTATAAAAAAATATTTATATAATTTATTTAATTAATTAAACTATTGTATTTTTTTTAAAAATAATCAAGGTATTACAGGGTTAAATAGCCATAGATTTTATTTGTTTTAAAAATAAGTAAAACTTTAGTACTTTAATATTTGTGTCAAGACTAAAAATATTTTTATTTTATAATATTTAAATTTTAAAAAACTTGAATGTCATTTATTTAAAACATCTATATTAATGATAATAAAATATTAGATATCTTAGATATTAGATTGTATTTTATTAATACTAGTTTTAAAACAGTATTAAATCATTTATATGTTTTTTAAAAAATATTAAAACAATACTTATTTTTTTTTAAAAAATATTTTACCTTATAACTTGTAATAATTAATTGACGATAAAATAAAATGGCAGACAAGTATAATTTACTTTTTAATAATAATAATAATAAAATATTTATTTATTATGTAAAATTAATTAATTAATTTTTTAAAAAAATTATATTTGTTACAATTTAGTATGACTGATCTAGCTGATATATTCTATAAGGATAATCAATTGAATTTTGCACTAGGTCAACCAGATTATCCAATCTATCCCAAACAGATTATGCAATTTATGACCGAAATTATTGATAGTCAAAATAGTCGTCTACATCAATATACAATGGATCAGGTGATGGATAATATTTTTATTTTATTTTTTAATAGTAACAGTCTATTAAAACTTATAAAATTACTATAAAATATTTTTTTTTAAAAATAGATTTACTAAATTAACAATTAATAGATTATAAACATTTTTATTAGCTAGTTAACATACACACACATACACTCACATACACTCACATACACACACACATATATACACACACATACACTCACATACACTTACACACACACATATATACACACACATATATATACACACACATATATATATATACACACACTCACACACACACACATATATATATATATATATATATATATATATATATATATATATATATATATACACACACACTCACACACTTACACACTTACATACAAACACTCACACACTCACACACTTACATACACACACATACACACATATACACACATACACACACATACATACACACACATTTATTAAAAATAAAACTTTAAGCTACTAAAACTAACTTAATGTATATAAATAAAATTAATATTATATTTTATTCAAACTAATAAACCCTCCCTCGCCCCTCCCCCAGGGTCTACCTCGTCTAAAAAGTATATTGGTTAAATTATACTCACATTTAATGCCAACTGTTAATATTGGGGATGAAAATCTATTTGTTACGACTGGTTCATCGGCTGCCCTATACTGTAGTATTAAGGCTCAGGTACGCGAACCGGGCGATCGGGTCCTAATACTGGATCCATCGTATCCGTATTATTCGCGTATTGTACGCAGCGTTGGCGGTTTGTCCGTAAGCGTACCGATGCTGGTCGATCCGAGCACCGGCAGGTGGCTATTGGACACCGATAAAGTGGAACGGGTTATGAAATCGGAGAAGCCGTGTGCCATTATAATTAATACACCGCATAATCCAACAGGACGGGTATTTATGGTCAAATTGTTATTTAGCTTGTTAATGTTTAATTTTATTTTTTAATTTTTTTAAAAAAAAAATCATAGGTTTTTAGTGAATCGGAATTGTTATGTATTGCAAATCTATGCAAAACTTATAATGTGTTTGCAATTTGCGATGAAGTTTACGAGTGGTATGTTTACCAACCAAACAAACATTTTCGTTTTGGTAATAATATTTAAAAATAACTTATTAAACAAAATTTTTTTAAAAATTAAAATTTTATTTTTTGTTTATTTATTTTATTGTATTATTTAGCATCAATACCGGGAATGTTTGACCGGTGCGTAACAATTGGCAGCTTAAGTAAATGGTTTCATGTAACCGGTTGGCGATTGGGTTGGGCACTAACGGGCGACACTAGTCTAGTCAATGCTATACACGAAACGCACGCGTGTTTTTGTATATCAAGTTCAACGCCCATACAGGAGGCGACTGCGCGTATGATTGAATGGGAATATGAGAAACTAATTGTCGACCATAGTGTTGAAAAAATTGACCATGCTAATCAATTATCATTATCCTATTGGACAGAAACATGTCACCTGTTAAGTGAAAAACATGAAAAAATTGCTAAGATTTTAACGGATTTCGGTTTAAAACCGTTACCCGTCGATTCCGGTTATTATATACTGGCCGATTGTACTGAATTATCCGCAAAATTAAATTTACAAAGTGGTACAGCATTTGTCACGTGGTTATCCCGTCAGGGTATTCAATGTGCACCGTTGGCTATGTTTTGCGCCAACAACGATGATAGCCAGCGCTACGAACATATGGTTCGCTTTTGTTTTATAAAAAGTGACGAAACTTTGCGCAAACTATCGGAACGTTTAGATTTTATTAAGCGTACGATTGTTTCGCAAGTTTCTAATATACAGTAGAAGTTCAAACACACTATACAAATAAAAAGTTATTTTTTTTGTTTAAATATATTTAATTTATAGTAATCGATAAATAATAAAATTTATTGAATTAATAGAATTAAAATTATTATTTTCTTTAGTTTCATTAATTAATTTTTTTAATAATATATATTATATTATATGTATATATATTAAAAACAATTTAAAATATTATTTTCTAATTAAAGTTATTAACAATAGTATTTTACAATTAAAATAAACAAATTAATGTCTAGTACTAAAAAAATGTTTTTTTTAAATCATGCTTATGTTATGTTTAATTTTTTTTTTAAATATTATATTAGAAATAAAATATATTTATTTTTTATTTTATTAAAACTACTAAATTAAATTACAAGCCTGATGTTTCAAGTTAAACAAAATAAATTTATACAATATGTACTAGTACATTTTTTATATAATATATTATACAATAAATAGTAATAATTATATAAACGTATAAATTATTAAATAATAGTTTCAAAATACAAACAAAATTGTTTGTTAATAATTTTTGTTTTAATTAATTTACTAATAAATTTTTATATATTCAATACAAATGTAATTATATTTATATAATTGATATATTATTGTATCTAATAATTATAAAAATTAGTATATCTAAAAAAATTATTATTTTTTTTTGTTTCAAAACTTATCAAAAATACATATTCAATACATTGTATTTTTTTAAATAATAATTGTTTTATGCTAATTAATAATAATGATTAACAAATATATATATATATATATATATATTGTATTATTAATTAGTATTTTTTCAAACAAACAAAACAAAACATAAAAATAAATTATATTATTGTTTACTGAAAAAAACTAATTTCTTAGGAAAATTTTTTTTCTATATAAATGTTTTTATTATAATTTTAAATATATACGGTATATATAGTGCCATATCATGTTTGGTAATAAATGCAAATTTATTTTACCTGTATTCAATTTTGGTTAGAGTTATAAAAATATTATTATAATTTATACAATATATATATATATATATATATATATATATATATATATATATTGGTATATAAAAAACTATCAATAGATTTTTTAAATAAATTTATTGATAGTTATAAAAAAAAGTCAAAATTAATTGTTTTAGTTTCGTTTGTTTGTTTTAATAATCTTATATTGAATATATAATAAAAACTATTTTAAAAAATTATTATTATTATTATTATTATAAAATTAATTAAGATTTAATAATTTATTTTTTTTGTTATATATTGATTTAACTTAATAATATCAAAATAATATACAGTTTATATATTTTAAATATATTATTTTTTAATAACTAATAGCTAACTACTTAAATAATAATTATTTAAAATAATGTCTATAACAACATTTTTAATTAACAATATCTATAATAATTTTTATATTTTGTTAACACTATTTATTGGTGCTGGTATAATTTATTTAACTATTATGTAAGTTATTAGTTAACTATTTATATAATATTTTAAAATTTTATTAAATAATATTAATTAATTTTTTGTTATCTATCTATCTATCTATTAGCCAACGGTTTAAATATTTTAATTATTGGAAACTGCGTGGAATCTATGGTCCGACACCATTGCCAGTCTATGGCAACTATTTGCACACTATATTTGGCTATCATTATAAACAATTGTTAGCATGGTCAAACAAATATGGCAATGTTATTGGGTATGAGTGTATATATAAATATATATATATATATTATATAAAATTATATATATTTATTATATAAATTTATATATATAAAAATATAGTTTTAAAAAGTTTTAGTAATTCTAACCTATTTATTCAACAACAAAAAAAACAACAAAATATTTTTTTAATATAAATTTAAAACAAATATTTCTTTAAAACTTAATATAAATTTTGATCAATATTTTAGACTATAAATTGAATTGAGATTATGATTTTATAATTTTTTTTGAAAAAATATTTATTTAATTTATTAATCAGTAATTTGATTAAATAAATAAATAAATTAATTAATTGATAAACAGTAAACTAATAAATTGACTATACTGTACTGTACTATAATTTTATTTTAATTTTATTTTAATTTTATTTTAATTTTATTTTATTTTTTGATAGCACCTACCGTTTTTTGCGACCCGAACTAATCATATCGGAACCAAATACTGTATACAAAATATTGAACACTTATAGCCATAAATTTCCACAACTAAGGGACTGGTATATCATCAAACATTTGACTGATTATCATCAATATGTTGGCGTACATAATAAATATAGTCGGACTGTATTGGCCGGACTGTTTCGTCGGCCGGAAAATATGAAACATCTGAAACAAATTACTGGAACTGTTTGCCGACAACAATTTGTGGCCAATTTTGTTGTCGACGACTCGTCCGTCGGTAACAAAATAGATGCCAAACAATTGATAGAAACAATGGTCACTAGGATTATGATTGAATGTTCGTTTGGCCAGAGTTTTACCGCCGCTGACGCTGCCGTCGACTTTGACCGGTTCAGGCAATCCGTACCAAAGTTTGACCAAAACAGACGACTGCTGTTGTGGACACTGTTGTGGCCACAGCTAATTGATCCGGTATTTCGTTTGTACGACAAACTGTTTGGCGGCCGACAGCGATATTTCATTGACAGTGTACGCAAACTTGTCGAACAGCGACGCCGTCGGCAATTGATGGCCACCACCACCACCACCACAGCCGACGCCGATAATGATAATAACAAAGATTTTTTGCAGATCTTCATCGACTATCGTCACAACAAATCAATTACCAATAGTTCGTCAAATAGTCTGACTGTCGATGAAATTATTAGTTTATTTTATGTTAGTTTTATGTCGGCCTACGAACCACTGACGCTGATGCTGGCGATGTCGGTCTACGAGTTGGCCAGAAATCCACGGATTCAGCAGAAACTATACGACGAATTGGTGGCCAACTCTAAGAGGAGCAGTAGTATCGGCGGCGGCGACAGCGGAAACAATGGTAGCACCGATCTGTCAGACCTACCCTATCTGAATGCCGTACTAATGGAAACTATGCGCAAATATCCGGCAATAGTTACCAATAGACGGGCAACCCAGGACATCCATTTACCCGATATTGGCGTAACCGTACCCAAAGGTACTGATGTTGAACTATCGTTTATATCCATGTACTACAATCCCCAGTACTTTCCCGATCCCCTGGTCTACAATCCGGATCGGTTTATGCCCGAATCGGCCGACAAACTGACCAGACATTCGTTCATGCCGTTCGGTTCCGGTCAAGTACTCTACTGTGTCGGCGAACGGTTTGCCAAACTATTGATGAAACACGTATTGTCCGCACTGGTCGTTTGGCTAGAGTTTAGGCCGTCCGCGACCACCGCTGCCGTCGCCGCCGGTACCGAAAAAATGTCCAATCAGTTCAAACAATTTCCCGATTTATTGCTACCAAAATCAGTAGATATTGAATACAAGTTTAGATTATAATTAATTAATTTTTTTATTATTATTCTAGTTATTATTTTTTTTTTGGTAATTGTTTTTTTTAAAAAGTATCTAAAAATCTTATTTTATGTTTTTATTAATTTTAGTTTATTTTTAAATATTAGATATATATATATATTGCTTTTGTTGATTTTTACAATAAAAATTTTAGCCCACATTTAATCTTTTAATATAATACTTTTTTATCAATTTATTTATCATTATAAATAACAATTATAGTAATAAATTTTTTGTTTAAATATTTTTTTTTAATTTATACAATATACAAATAATTATTATAATTAACTTAATTAATTTAATTTAATTAATATATTTTTTTATTAATTATTTTTTAAAATCAAAATTAACAGTTAGTTTTTTTAGTTAAATAATATTATTTAATAATTATAAATTATTAATAATTAAAAAAAATCATATTATTATTATTAATGATTTTTTATTTTATTTAATTAGATATTTAATTAAATAAAATTTATTTATTTTATTTTTTAAAATACAGTATTATTTCATTAGATTTTATTAAACTGTATATACTGTATATAGCATGCATGTTATAAAACTATAGATTTAATAGAGTATAAATATATATTATATATACAGTATATATGATTTAATTTGATATTATTATATTAATAATAAGCTCCGCCTATTTTGTTGTTGTTGGTATTATCTATACAAACATGGAGCACATGTATTATTATTTCACATATAGTATATTAAATCACTGTATTTTTGTATTGTTATACTTGTATATTAATTGTTGTTATGGGAAACGCTAAACAAACACACACACACACATACATTAAAATATAGTCAAACATCTAGTACATAGGCCACTCATATATCTCTCTATAATATACAAACACACAATAGGAATAACTTAATGTTTGTGTATATCATAAACCCCCCCCCCTTAGCTATTGGCTTTCACTGTATAACAATTGCTAACCAACTAGTAGTGTACTATACATTCATAGTATAGAATTAAAGTACAGTATTATTAATAATACTGTAATAATACTAATACTAATAATATGTATTCACTTGTATTGATTGAATTGAATGAATCGTATTGTTGTTGTTATTGTTGTTATAATAATAATAATAATAATAATATTTAATAGAGTTTTGTGTTTACATTCAACTAATCTATTGTACAAACAATCAGTCAATCATCGGGTGATTCATCACTACTGCTAGTAGTGGCCACTAATTACCGCCCGATAGAGAGAGATAGACTGTCTGCCCGACACACACAATGCCCGGACACGATATCAGCCGATTTGTCGATATCACACCGTTTTTGGCCAAACATTTCAAATGCTGTATCTGTTTGAACATATTCAACAAAGCCGTGACCAACCATTGCGGACACACCTATTGTCGGTCGTGTATACGCCAGTGGATCTATACGCCGAGCGACGACTGCCCGGAATGTCGACATCCGTTGGCCACACGTAAACGATCGCATCAGTTGGCCGACGACGATCGTCTGGCCGTTGTTATCAACGGCTATGTACTCGAAAACAATCTGAAAGTCAACGCAATGGTAGCCGAAATGGTCGTCAAATGCGAGTATTCGGGTAACGGTTGCGATCAAGCGATGCCAATGGATCTGATTGGCGGACACGAGCGACACTGTGGCTACAGGTTTTGTCCGACTTGCGGCCACATTATCGGCGACAGTGATAGTAGTAGTAGTAGTGTTTCGGCCGCCGGATCGTATGGACAACAACAGCAGCATAACTGTGTCGATGTATTGATCGACGAAAATCACAACTACAGAGACCGGATCAAAGAACTGGAGGACAAGTATTGCGAAATGGACGGCCAGTGTCAGGAATATAAACGTCGGATGTGTCTGTTTCAGGAACTGCTAAAACTGGCCAAAGCTCAGCAAAAACGGTTGAAAGATCGTAACGCACGGCTGGAAACCGAAATCCAGATGAAAATCGAAACAGAGTTCCAGTTGCGTCAGTCGTTGGACAATACAATCAATGGACTATCGGCAGCCGTTTCCACAGATATTGGCACCGATGATGATGATGAGGAAGAGCTGGACGATGACGGCGACGACACTGTCGAGGAAGTGGATGATGAGGACAACGACGACGTTGAACAGGAGTTAAACAATACGGTTGTTGTTAATATTATTGGCGAACAAATTCAGGCCAATGCCGATGCAGCCATAGATCTAAGCGATGGCAACACTACCGAAGTAGAGGTCGAACAGTTCAGCAATGATGATGACGACAACAATGAGGACGATGTGGATGAAGAAGCGACTGTCCATTTGATGGCCACTACTAGTAGTACGACTCCTTCTACTGTACCCACAACTCCCATACGAACCATTCGTCGATCATCTGTTTCATCTGTTAGCTCTATGGAACCGGATTACGTAACGTTCGGTACCTATCGTGGCAGTTGTCGACTCATTGAGTTTACCGGCGATGGACTAACCTTACGATCCAATCGTATCGAAAGCCTGGAAATCGTACACAAAGACCTGATTAGTATCAAATGGTACGAAATGAAAGCTATACTCTACTGTTTGGATCCCATACTACCCGTCATATTTGTGATGCCATTGTACGAGGCGTACAGCGAGATCAAGGACTGGATAGATATGGGCCAACAGTATAATAATGGCGAGTCATTCCTACTGTGCGCCAGAGGTTTGTATTAATATTAATATTATTATTATTTTAAGTACCGGTAGTTACTGTTAAAATTTATATTATAAATGTTTTTTTTGTTGTTTCCGATTTTTTTTAGGTATTGATCACCGAAACTGTTACGTTAAGATAGTATTGAAGACAAGTATCGGTATCGACATAGTCAACACATTGAAAAGGTTTAAAGATTTGAACAATAGTCTAGAGTGTAGGCCGATATCGTTGGACGGTGCAAGAAAACTACTGTTCCGCTATCATACCCGTACCAAACATTGATTGGAGCGCCAACCATTTGGTTGTTAGTATTATTACTGTATCGGTAATAATAATAATAATACTGTAACTGTAGTATAAAAAAAAATTATATACATTTATCACATGTTATATCCACTCAACAACAACAAAAATAACTATACATTTAACCATAAATTATATAAGATATATATATATATTTGAATATTTAATTATATAATACTTTATTATATCAACAAAAAAATTATGATTTATATATATTAATGTTTAAATATTTAAATGTTTGTTTTATTTTTAAATTTCAATATTTTCTTTATTTTTTTCATTTGTAATTATATTAAAAAAATAATAAGTAAACTTACTTTACTTTGTACTGTTGAGACAAATATGTTTTTTTTATTAATATTATATATTAATAAAAAATAATTATGCTAATGTATATTTACCGGTAATTGTAAAAACAATTAACCAGTAAACAGGAAAATTCAATTTATAATTAATAAAACAAATTTAGTTTTTTTTATTTAGAAAATAATTAATAAAATACTTAAAAAATTTTAAATTATATGATATATATTTATATATATATTATAATTTATAATAATTATTTGATTATTATAGCTATTTATTTTTTATAAGTGATTATATTTTACAGATTAAAATTTTTTTTGGAGAGAAAATTACTGTTAAATTTCAACATTGTTAACACAACTTTGTTTTAATTATTTTTAATTATAGAAAAAACTACAATTAATAACTGATTTTTATTATTTTAAAAAAACATACAAAACAAACAAAATTATTAATTAATTAATTTAAACGATACGACAGTTTGTTTTTATTTGTCAATAATAGCCGATAAATTGAGAAAATTTATTATTAAATAATAATTAAATGAAAAATAATAATACAGTTATCAGTCAATCAATAAATCAATTAATCTCTCCATTTGCCTACAGTTCCTCTTTGTGTATATTATGTGTAAATAAAAATTAATTTTAATATTAAATTAACATTAACATTAAAAAACTAACAATTATTGTTTTTAATTAATTTTTACATTTACAATTAATATATTATAAACTGTATATATTTAATATTATTTGTTTCAAATTTATTTTATATGTATTTATGTATTAATATTTGTAAATATCTGCACAAACATAGCAATTAATTTTGTTAATTAAATTTTTTATTTACGTGATTAATAAAACATTGATTTTTTTCTAAATATAATACCATTGTTTAGCATAATATTTTATTAAGTATAATTGTAAATCATATTATAATTATAATAATGACTAAATTATATGAATTAAATGTATTATTATTACTACTAATAATAATAATAATTATTGTTTTATTATTTGACATAACTTTATGTAAAACCAGAACACAATTAGCGGAAGCAGCGAAACACAATCAAAATAAGAGGTAAAAAAATCAAAATATATATATCATATAAATAATATTAGACTTTTAAAAATATTAATTTTATATTATATAAATTTTTTTTGAAAAAAAAATATTTTAATTATATATATATATATTTTAATAACATTTAACAGATCGTAATAATAATAATATTAATATCTATAATAATAATAAAAATTAAAAAAATGGCGTCGATTATTAATTAAATATTTTATAATTCCAAAAAATAATAATTTTAATAAAATTTGCTAAAAATTAGTCTTAATTTTTTAATAAATTAATTGTTTTATTGAAATTTCTAGAATAATTATAAAATAATAATAATAATTTAATAACAATTGACATAATTATGATTTATTTTTATTATATTAATTATAATTAAATATTAAATATATCATTTCATTTCACTAAAAAAATTTAATAATTTTTGCCATTCAATAAAATATATTTTACCAAAATAATAAAATTAATAAATTATTTCATAATTTTAGCAATTTTAATAATAATAAAAATAATATTTATTAAACTATATTATATATATTAATATATAGGCTTTATCTTAATATCAGACTATAACTCGACTTCCGACTCTGAAGTCGGATAGCAGTCGGTTATCAGTCGAAATTATTTTACTATTAAACTACAATCGACTGGTATCCGATTGGTATCCGACTGGTATCCGATTGGTATCCGACTGGTATCCGACTGGTATCCGACTGGTATCCGACTGGTATCCGATTGGTATCCGACTGGTATCCGACTGGTATCCGATTGGTATCCGACTGGTATCCGATTGGTATCCGACTGGTATCCGATTGGTATCCGACTGGTATCCGACTGGTATCCGACTGGTATCCGACTGGTATCCGATTGGTATCCGACTGGTATCCGACTGGTATCCGATTGGTATCCGACTGGTATCCGACTGGTATCCGACTGGTATCCGACTGGTATCCGACTGATAGCCGACTGGTATCCGACTGATAGCCGACTGGTATCCGACTGATAGCCGACTGGTATCCGACTGATAGCCGACTGGTATCCGACTGATAGCCGACTGGTATCCGACTGATAGCCGACTGGTATCCGACTGATAGCCGACTGGTATCCGACTGATAGCCGACTGGTATCCGACTGATAGCCGACTGGTATCCGACTGATAGCCGACTGGTATCCGACTGATAGCCGACTGGTATCCGACTGATAGCCGACTACAATCCGATTTCAGAGTCTGAAGTCGGAAGTCGAGTATTAGTCTGATATTAAGATATAGCCAATATATACAATATATTGAACATTAAAATTATAGATCTAAAAATATATTTTAACAATACTTTTTAATATAATTTATAAACTACTAAAACACAACAATATATTTAATACTATTTAAAAATAAAATAAAAAAGTTTTATACCACTCAATTAAATTATATTAAAATAATAATTTTAAAAAAATAAAATTATTAATATTTAGATATTTTAATTTTACGATTATTACAATAATATTTGTTTAGATAATTAATTAGTTGAAAGTTATTTTGATTATAATTTGTTTTCAATAAAAAAATTGCCGTAAATTTTTTAGCCATTAGTCTATCGTATGTGTTGACAAACAAATCCCTTAACATTAGTACAGATACGCCAAACCATAGACTGATAATACTAGCCATTAGACAGAGATATTCTTCGGCCGAGATTTTCATTGATATTTGGTAAACGGTTTTCGGATGAAACGGTGAATCAATGATCAATGTATAGCCATTGAAAACCCGTATTGTTGAATAATATAGTGATGTATCATAATATTGTAGCGGAATAATAATAGATCACTTATAACAATAGTAAAAGTACTCAAATTATTAATTTAATTACTTAAATAATTTTTCATATGTATTCCATAGTTTTGACTACAGTGTTAAATACATAGTAATATGTGAGATTTAGTATACCCATAGAAAATACATAAGCGGCACATTTACTATTATAAATATGGGTTTAACATTACCATAGAAATAACATTAGCTATACTTTAACATACAAACATATAGGTTTAGTTTGTGACACATATAGTGTCAGTAAATGCAGTGACGCACTTGCGTTTCAGTGAATACTATGTAACCATTGGTTTAAATATTTTATATACAGGGGTTAACAAGGGTTTTTGTTTCCTATACTTTAACATTAATGAATTAATTAATTTCTATGCACACTTGTGTATTGTATTTTAATGCAAATGAGAATTTGCCTTTAGGTGGTAGTGTGCGACTGATCAAAAATAGGCAGAGTTTGAATTAACAAATAAGAGCAAAGTAGTAGTGTATGCAAAAGTAGTCATCAAATATGAATGCAGAGTTTAACAGTTTGCGCGCGCAATAGGCAGTGGCTTATGCAGCGATCAGACTGCTGAGCTCTCAGTCGAGCGAAATGCTCGACACAAGTTGTCTTACTCCTGAACTGGTCGGTTGCCGTCACTACGCTCCGCAATACACTGTAGTATATTGTAATACATTGTATTAGTTTTATTTTATATGTGTTATCAATAAAACTCTGTTTTGGTATAAGTTTTGAGTAAGTCATTTGGGCCTTTGGCCCGCGCTTTCTCTCCTCTCTCTCTCTCTCTATCTTTACTTTCTTTTTTCACTTTATCTCTGGGCTCCCTTGCCGTGTCAGTCGTGTGTCCCTTTCCCGTGTCCATCACCGCCACCACTAAACACATTGGCCGATACAACAACGCTCAACTCATTGGCCATCACAGCACCGCTCATCACGTTTGGCTAATCATAGCCATCACCGCTTAACGCCAGATCCATACTGTGGTCGCAGATGTCCCTCACTACTATGGTGTTGGTGCCGACTCAACGCTAGGACCGACATAACATTGATGTCGAAAACGTCGAGATCAGCACCGGACACCTTAAGCAACCCATCCAACCGTTTCAATATTCCGACCGACATATGTCATATTGATGATTGCATCGGTAGTCGCAATGGCCAGGTTTCAGGTCATTAATACCGCATTAACACGGCATTTAACATACGCAATCAAAACTTAAATTACATTAAATAGTTTTTTTTCAAGAATATATAATTTATATTAAATATTAATTACAATTGCTATTGTACTGTAGTGTACTTGATATTCAAATAATAGTTATTAATAATTATAAAAAAAACAAAACAAACAAAAAATGACTTTAAATTATTTTTGGTTAAAAAATACTCATTTATTGAAAATTATAATTATATACACATACACATACACATACACATACACATACACATACACATACACATACACATACACATACACATACACATACACATACACATACACATACACATACACATACACATACACATACACATACACATACACATACACATACACATACACATACACATACACATACACATACACATACACATACACATACACATACACATACACATACACATACACATACACATACACATACACATACACATACACATACACATACACATACACATACACATACACATACACATACACATACACATACACATACACATACACATACACATACACATACACATACACATACACATACACATACACATACACATACACATACACATTTCAATTATATACCAAAAACAAAATTTCAATACGTCGATTAGTTTTCGAAATAATTGAATTTCAATAAAAATTATAATTTCAAATACAATAGTGTGATTTATATTGTAATTCGAT